GGAGGGGTTCGGGGGGTCCCGGGGGCCTCTTAAATTATTTAAATTATTTAATTCCCGGCGCGGAATTAAACAATTTAAATGATTTAAATAATTTACATAATTTAGATAATTTAAATAATTTAATTCTTGGGGAGGGGTTCGGGGGGTCCCGGGGGCCTCCCCAGGATTTAAATTATTTAAATTATTTAAATTATTTAATTCCCGGCCCCAAACCCCCCTGGAAACGCAAACCGGTTCTATTTGGAAGCTGCCTCTTGTGTATATAAGAGGGATCCAGAGCGTAATTTCCTCTCTAATTTACAAGAGGCAGCTTCCAAATAGAACCGGTTTAAGCCGCACACACCCCCCCCCCCGCCCCCGCACCCCCCCATAGTATCCCCCCCTAGTATACACCCGAAATCCTAGTGAGGGTCGTCACTTTTGTCTCAAAAGTGCCAACAGTCACAGGGATGGGCTACCCGAACTATTGAATTGAAGCTATGCAACTTCCTGGCGTGTCCAAAGTGGCGACACTCGCCTGGATGGGCCATGGTTTCGGTCTGCGCCGCGCCCAGCTGCTGACCCTCAACCCTAACCCTTCTCCGTTTTTGAGTGTCCAAAAAACTCGTTCATATCTGTACACCTAAACCCTAAACAACCCCACCACATACACCACAGGGGGGGTGCAGGTGCAAACCTTAAACCCTAAACTCAACACCCACCACCACACCACAGGGAGGGGGGCAGGGGGTTAAACAAGTGAAACACTCAACCTGAAACACGCACCCCACCACACCACACCACACTACCGGGGGGGGAGAGGGCGGTGTTAAATAACCCAAGACCCACCACCACACCACAGGGGGACGAGCGGGGTTAACTGAAACCCACAACCCACCACCACACCACACCACACCACAGAGGGGCGGTAGGGGGGGATACCATGGGGTGGGGGGGGGGGGAGGGGGCCGGGCGACGCTGCACCATATATATATATATACACACACACACACACACATATATATATATATGTATATATATATATATATATGTGTGTGTGTGTGTGCGTGGATGTGCATATGCGTGTGTGTAGGTTCGTATATGTGCGTATGTATGTTTGTGTGTGTTTGTATATGTCTATATGTGTGCCAGTGTGTGTGTGTGGTGTGAGTACCTGTACGTGTCTGCAGGTGTGTTTAATATATATATATATATACACATCTATCTATCTAAGAATTTTTTTTGTCTCTTTTTGTCTCTCTCTCTCTCTCTCGTTCTATATATATATATACACACATAATATACACACACGTGGCCTGCGCGTACAGACGGTCACATATTTCCTGACCTGGACTCTCTCTCTCTCTCTCTGTGTCTCGCACACTGTCTGGCTCTCTATCAATCTCTCCGCCTCACTGTCCTCACAGGAACGACTTGTCGTCCTATCAGTACGGCACAATCGAGATTTGTGGAATAAATGGCACACATACCAGCTTTAAACTCTGGCGCGGTTGGGCAGCCGCACCTGGTTTGCGATTTCGGTCTTCAGCGATTTGCACATGGTTGTAACCCTTGATGTCCTAAATCGCAATCGGTGACCATCAGGAATTGCAACTATGCGTGGGTTTGCGCTTGTGTATGGTTTTGCTTCGGCGTAGAGGGCGCGAATTTCCATTGAAGGCGCCACAAGACAAGAGCAATCCGGGCAAAAGGGGCCTAGCAACTAAGTCAATCTCTGCGGTGGCACAAGTCATGGAGTGCCGGCACAGCAGGTAATAGAACAATTGGTTCCCTGGGTCAACCCAGACCCACACTCCACGCGATTGGGCGGCAAAAGCATCTCATTACGCAAGCATGGAAGCCTATAGCGTGCTGAGTCCTGCACTGTTGAGGCCACGAATGCATGAGTCTGCTGCACACCGGAGACATGAAGCCCGCGCTCATTATCATGGCTGCTTGGCACAAGAGCTGAGTTCTGGACTAGTACTGAAGATTTGTAAACAGTGCAGGACACTAGTCACTAGATGAGGATGTAGGCCTCTAGCATGAGAAGCAGCCTGGCCCCAAACCGGCGACAGCTAATCCATCCCTGCATGTTGAGTCTGTCTATACACCTTTGTACACCCTGGCCTCAGGACGTGATCCAGTCTGACGACACTCAGGCGTGACAGTGTCGGAACTATTGACTATGGTTCACCGCTAAGTTTGGATCTTAAAGCACAGGCTGAGGCTGAGGAGGTCCTCGAAACCTTACGGGGCGACGTCTTATGCCGTTGTGCAATGCAGCGATTAGGCAAACAGGCGAAACAGTCTCGACATGAGCTAGCAGCTGCTCTGCTGAAAAAGGGCTTGAGGATTGTGCAGGAACAGGTCAAGAGCAGTGTCAAGATTTGTTGCGCCCCCTTCGCTCTGCACTATCTGTCAGGAAACCAGAAGGAACTTTCACGAGCATTTTCATGACTTTTTACTTAATGGATGTCGTCGGCTTGCGAGACGACTGCTATGAGCTAGGCCAGCATTTTTGTCTTGGGAAATTTGTATGTTTCCTGATGCTGCTTCGGCTTTCAAAGCAGCTTCTCTGCTTCAAGTGGGGCTTGATGGCCCATCATGGCAGTGATGACGGCGAGCTGAGTGTGGAGGCAAACTGGAAGTATGGTGACCCTGGATTCGTCGCCTTTGCCGGCACTGAAGTTTCCCTTAAGGGATGCTTTGCAGGCACTCCAAGAGTCTGCCAATGGTCCTCCATCGGTGAGGACCGCTATGATGCACTCTGCTTCAGCAGGTGCTCACGGGCCCTACAAGGTTGGCAGCACGGCGAAAACTCGTGCATTGAAGAGGATCGGTCGCATTAAGCGTCGTGGTGAACACCTGGGGGGAGGTTACGCCGAGCAGCGCCCGATGAGTACACCCCGCGCCCCACCGGAGTGCGATCGACCGAGATCAGTGCCGAAGTCGGTTCCATCTGCAGTGAGCAGGAGCAAAGTGGAGATGATCCAGTTTACTCAAGACGCGGCTATCCAGTCATGGCCGCAGGTGCAGAAATCGCAGTCGATGCCAGAGTCTCGTCAGCATTGATAATTTTAAGATCCTCGCTACAAGCCCTGCATATTGGAATTTGTGGGTGCAGGTTGGTCAGCTTAACAGGCAGCACAATTTCTCGCCTTCCCAGGACCTCAGCCACACGTCCACTAAAGCTCAGATGGGCGCTAGCACCTCCAGCTTTGGCAGCCCTGTTGAAATTCGGCCGACGTGGACTTCCGCCGCACGATCAGTCTTGGGCCATGGCCGGCGACAGGCAACGACCATGTCCAAGAGCGCGCAGAGCCTCGAGGACTTGGAGAAGACGGACTTGTCGGAGCTGCCTCCCGCAGGCTGGGCTTCCAAGTCAGCGGCTTATAACAGCACTGGCCTGAACAAATCATCTATGTACGCGAGTATGCGTGTATGCATGTGACCCCTCCCCCCGAATAAGTGAAAGTATGCTACATAACAAACTTCTTGTCCGGGCGAGGTAGAGGAAACATACACTACGCCCGAGCTGGAGGACTAAGCAAGGGCAGCTTCTCCTCCACGCCCTCAGTATGTGTGGACAAAGTGTACAGTCTACTACATCGTAGTAGTAGTAGTAGTAGTAGTAGTAGTAGCAGCAGCAGCAGCAGGAGTAGTAGTAGTAGTAGTAGTAGTAGTAGTCGTAGTGGCGGTGGTGGTGGTGGTGGCGGTTGTGATGCCAGTAACTATTGCCAGACTAGTAACATCGTAGTAGTGTTCGACATGCTAATGGCAATACTTGTGCGAGGACATCACAGGAAGTACATGGACGCACGTGCTAGTAATGTATATGGCAGACAAATACAGCATGATGTGTAGAGGCACGTCCATATAGCAAGTATGTCATGCATGCAGAGCACAGTTTTTCGTTGCTTGCGTCCGCGCTGGAAACACGCACTGTGTAAGAAATCTGAGCCACTGAAAGGACCACCATGTGCTGTCGGTCCAACATGCTTATGAACGATCAGCTATATGGGATCGTTCGGCTTTCAGCATGTCAACCAACAAAGAGGGACTCGCACATGCTGCTGTCCACGATATTTTCACCAAAAGGGCCATACTGTGGCAGACACTAGCCAAAGTTTGGGCAGGCCTATCACGAGACTCTTCGTGGTGCGGTGCGACTTTGGCAACATTTCCAGGCCTTCCACGCCCCGTTAAAGACTGGGTGCCTCAGCATTGAACACAGAAACGGAGACAGATAGAGGACTAGAAGGCATGAGAAGTATGCTAGATGCGCCCTTTGCAACTCTAAGTTCATTTTGGTCGCTGTGACATGTCATGTACCCGGGTTTTCAAGATGTGAATGCAAGGCAAGTTCAGGCTTGGAGTTTACGGACGGTGGTCTTGGCATCGGTTCACGCAACTTGGCTTTTTTGTGATGACCTGGCTGCCCCTCCAGAGTTGAAGAGGAGAAGTGAGTCTTACCAACTCGTCTCTTGTTCATGACCCTCCATCCATGAGGTGACAACCCCGAGTACAAAAACTTCGCCGCGCGATCTCCGGGTCCAGTTAAGTCGTAGAGAAATGTGTCCATGCCATCTACCCCAGTTGGTGTCCTGCTGACACGTTGCATGGTCTTTGTCGTCCTACAGCAGTGCCGGTCTTGGCTTTGAGCGATTTCCGTATGACATGCTTGGGCACGAACTGCGTTTAACTTGACAGCGTGCTTGGTCTTGCTGGATGTTCGCAGGTTTTGTTTACACGGTGCAGAGCGGGAGCGTCAGCCTCTGGATCACTGGCAGCACCAGAGATGTGTGTGTGTGTGTGCGCGCTTTGGTTGTTCCTCGTTCGTGCAATTCGCGAAGATGTTTCTCGAAATGCATTGCAGAAGCCGTGCAGCCAACTTGCCGGCGCTCTGTCTGAACAGCTGGCCAAGAAGCTCCTTTCGCAGAACTGCCCAAACCGATAAGATGCAATGTTTGCACGTTCGCAAGCAGGTGCATACTTAGCTGCTCCATGTTGCTCCTTGGCTGTAGGTAAAACCGATGTTGTGTAAGGGCCAAGCACAGGCTGGCCGCCGGAAGCTAATGACGCAGAAGTGTTCGCAACTCAGCTCAAATTTTGCACATCCATGCTTCAGGAATTCATCGGCCTCCCTCCCAACGAAGCAGCCGCTTTCGCTACTTGGCTGAATGCAGTCAGGCGGATTCTTGAGTTTTGGCAGTAGCACTCCTTTTTGCGAAATGCTGACTTCAAAACTTGCACCGAGAGTCTCCACTGGGCCGCCTGCTTGAGAGGCAGCACACGTCGTCGGCTTCGGCCCGCTTGGGTACACGTGACTTGCTGCAAGTGAAGCACCTGCTGGCCAGAGTTGAACTGTAGAAGATCGTTGACCTCTGAGGCAGGGATCCTCAGTCACGCTATGAGAGCTCCTTGGCCGCTTGAACGGTCCTGTACGCCAAGACAATCCAAGACACCACCACGGCTTCTAGGGATTCTAGGGCCTCGGGCAAGTAGGACCGAGACTGGCACCAAGGGAAGCCGGGGCCTGGCTACTACGAGGTTCCCGGCTTCACCGAGGCACGCCGAAACCGACCCGTGTTTAAACCAACGGGTTTGCCCTCGACCGCTTGAAATGCCAGAAAGGTATTGGAAAGGACAGGTGAGTGTGGGCGCGGTGGACGGGTTGGGGGGGACTGCCCGGCGTGCTTGGGTCAAAGAAAAGCCTTCGCTCACACAAGGAAGGTGCAACGAAAGGGGGGAGGGGCGGATGGTTCTCCACTGCTATGGTGGGAGGTGCGAGGATGAAGCAATTTTTCCAGCCCTTCCATTGGTCAGAAAACGTTTTGGCTTGAGGGTACGATGGGCACAAGAATCAGGCTTTCGACGCAGATGGGTGACTTCTTGCAAATTTTCATCTCATATTGCCACGCCGAGTAGTTTGCACATCAGGCGCCTGCAGCACGAATCGCTATGATTTTTCACTTCATTTGTCGTTTCGACATCAGAACTATACCTCATAAATGAGTGCTAGCAGCTGCTAGCAGTCTACGAACATAGTTGGTGGAATAAACCAATGCAGCTGTAACCTTTCACGTCAGCGATCGTATCCCCCATGCCGGACAGAAGAAGAATCAGTCTAGCTAGTAGATGCTCCGCTACCGGCATCCTCGCCCGCACTTCGGTGCGTACTTATGTGGCCCCCCGAGAAAGACAGACAGGGAGAGGGAGGTGGCCTGTGCATCTCGCTACTACAATCCGTGTCTGTCGAACTTGTGAAAACTGGGACCTGGAGGAGCTGCTGCGGAAGGTCGCAAAGCGACCTGGCTTCCAGCCGCTCCACGCACGAGTCCGCAAACGAATGTAGCAGGTCTCTCGAAATATTTCAATGGGGCATAGCACTGGCGTACCTATCATTGAGTGGAGGGCAGGGAAGTGTTCTTGGTTCCCGGCAGAGCTTACCGGTTCTTACTAATTATGTTCTGGGGGGGGGGGGGCCTTGTCCAGCTGTAGTCACTTTGCACCCGAGCAGAAGTGTAATCTTGTGCCAACCACATGTTCCTGCAGCCTAGGAAGCATAGGCAGAGAGGCGCACTGCGTGGGCCAAGTAGGGGCAGATAAGCCACCACAGTAAGCAAGCAAACTCAATCACATCACAGGCACATCACAAGGTGTCACTACTTTGTGTTTTTTTGCCTGTGGTTAATGGTCCTGCGGCCGACTACGGGAACCAGCAGCACCGAGTGTCCTCCCATCGAGATGCCATCAAGGAAGGCAGAAGTCGTGAATGTGCCTGGCACCTCTTCAGCACAGCTGCATCGGCAAATGCTGACGCGCAGCAATCTTCAGGGAATTCGACCAACGCACAGAGGGACTTTAGCTGAAGTCAAAAAAATAAATCGATATGTCTGTCCACGGATGTTTATACAAAAATGTGTCTGTGTGTGTCTAGAAACCTATGTCATCAGTCAGTCAGTCATTCAGTCAGTCTGCCTGCCTGGCTGTCTGTCCGTCTGTCCGTCTGTTTGTGTTCGTCTGTCTGTCAGTTTGTTTGTCTGCCTGTCTGCTATCTATCTATCCATCCACCCATCCGCCCATCCATCCATCCGTCCATCCACATCCCTCGCTCTCTGTGTGTCTCTCTCTCTCTCTCTCTCGCGCCTCCGTATCTGTGTAAATATGTATGGGTATACGTATACATATATGTATACGCGATCCAGATTCACACAAAACGATGAGCTAAACGGCCGGCCTGTCTTGAGCGAGCCCCTTGGAGCGGTTGACCATTCATTTGGAGTGTTTCTTAGTCCTGGCCTCCGGGCACGTTTAGTTTCACAAGGAACTAGAAAAGTTATTCGGCGGAGCATCCGCGCTGAGTCTCACCTAGAATCGCGATTCGCGAGCACGAAAGCAGCGCTATCCGTGGGCAAATGATGTTGTCGTGGTCAAGTCTGTTCCTCGGCCAAGATGCTCTAAGCCATCGAGTGTCTGAACCCAGAACACCTGCGATCTGATATGTTCTGAGAATGCAGATCCCATCTTCACAACGTTTCAGCGAGGTCTTGGTCGATTTCGCAGTTCGGTTTGTTGGGAGGGGTGCCGTGCTGGAAGCAGCTTCTGGACTGAAGCCGATCACTCACACGGAGATCTTTCGCAAATGTGTGAAGACCACTCCAACAACAAAGTTGATTCTTAGAGACGATAGCCGGTCACCGTTGCACTGTGCCTGCCGTCCTGCCAGCACGGTCGTGGCAGGGGTTCGGCTTGCTGAAGTGGCTGCGTGCCCGGTACGGCTTCCTCGAGCCCCGAGCTCGTACTCTGAGCTTCCACCGTAGTTAGAGAATTGACTGCTTCAAGTCTAACGCACTTCTTGCCAGAAGTAAGCTGGTCAATCAGGAGCTGGCAGCACACCTGCCAATCGTGAGGCTGCCCATCATCGTCATATCCACCGACACATCCCGTGAGTGCATGCAAGATCCTGAGCGAGCATGGGCGGATCCTGATTCAATTTCCTCTGGTGTCATGTTAGTCTTCGGCAGCCGGCATGTTCCGACGGTCGTCATCTTGCGTTCTCCGTATCACAATGCCCAAGTCCACAACGAGGTTGTCTGCTATTGAAGCTGGGTGCAATGAGTGGCTCGAGAAGCCCTTCAACAAGGAGGCTCGAAGTTCTCCACAGATAAGGCCCTTCACCGCTGCAGAGGTTCGACCATCTCAATCTGGGGGGGTGTTGATTGGTTCAGATCCCCCTAGTAACGCATCTCTCGTACGGACCTTGGTGTCCAAACTTTGCAGGTCTGACTCCAGCCTGCTGTTATTGCATTGCTGCGATGCAGGAACTCCTGGCTCGACTTTCGCTTGCGATGCGGGCTGGCGACTCAAAGCCTCAATCCTTGTTTCTCGTCATGTCGTGCCGTGACATGACTCATGGAGTAATGGGGTAACCCTCTTTTTGTATGGTGACTCATCAAGGATTGAGGACATGCATGTTTGACGCGTGCACAGGCACTGTCTTTCCAGGCAGAGCACAATCAAGCTTCATTGGCCCTCAGAAGGTCATGGCACACGCACACACACACACACACCGAGAGTTCGGACGGGAACTTCCGACACAAGCCGTGCGTTTTTGGTGATAGCTGTGCGAGAACCAGAAGCTTCTTCCGAAGTCATCTTCGCGATGGTCAGCGATAATGGGGCAGCGGGATACTTGTACCAAGTGCAAGCAGAGAGCGAAATAGCTTCGGCTGCCAGCCTCGGGCATGAGCAGTTGGAATGCGGATGATGGTGGAACGTTGGACAGTGTATCGATGATAGCGCCGGCTTGCATACCACACTACGTCACTACGCAGTTGCACGTGTGTTGGCTTGCATTCCGTTGGCAGCAGAGACTACAAACTACTGGGTTTGTCTTGTGAATCGCTTCTTAGAACCACCGAATCGAAGAAGGTCGCTGATGAAGTGGCCTCGAATGGCATCTGTCCCGGTCTGAGTTCTGTCTGCTCGGAGGAGAGCCCGGCGGGTCGGAAACACGAAGCCATTTGCACAGCCTCACAGTTCCCTTGACCTTATCAGATGCAGAGGTGCTTGAGTTGGAGATAACACGGTCCATAGACCGGACAGAGGGACGGATCTGTGCAAGATGTGAGAGGACATTCGTGGCATCGCCATGCACACGCCCGAAATGCAAGCGCGCCGTTCAAGTGCTTCCAGGCAGGAAGCGCTGGTGTTATGACTACGTGAACACCAGTTTCGGACGAGATGACATCGCAGCACAGGCTGTCGGTTCCTTCATCCCGCTTGGGACGGCCATCACTCGAGAGTTTCTCGGCAGTCGAGAGATTTCGAGAAAGATGCTGCTCAGGCTAACAGAGCACAGCGCAGAGCAAGCTTGTGGCCACTATATCTCCAGTTCCGTGTCATAGTCAGCTAGTGTCGTCAGTTCCTTAACGCTGGCAAGGAGGATGGGCAGAACGTACGCGTCGGAGAAAGAGACAGCTAACCAGCAATATTTAACCGTTTAACCGCGAGTGAGGCAACGACCTGGTACCACTTCCCTGTCTTATCGGGTCTGTATAGCGACTTGAGGCTAACACGAGTTCCTTCGATGCGTGCTAACGACTGACTGCTTGAATCGTGCCAGAATGTCGCACCTCGCAGCGTTTCAAGCGGCTTGGTACTTCCCATGCCCGAGTGCTTGCGACTCAGACGACTGGGTTCCTCGCTTCAGGCAGATGTGTCGACAGAAATCCGGATGCCCGCTGTTATGGTTGAAGCATGCCTTGACGGGAATCGCCCGATGAGCAGTGCTGGGATGTGTAGTAGATGTTTGAATTGACTTAAGGCGAGGAGGAAGAGCAGCAGCATTCGTCCAGCGACTCTTCAGACGAGCCTGGAGCCGAAACACGGACAGCCTCGTTCGAAAGCTCGGTTGAGAGTCGCTTCCAGCTTAGGCCCGCTCCTGACGCGAAGACAAAGTCCAACAAGTCCAACTCAAGCCACTCGGCTGCACACCACCCCACTGCAAGATCAGGAAGGGCCCTGTTGCCCATCGCAATTGATCGAATTTACCCGACACATTGTCATTGCATGTGACCCACCCTGCAAGCGAGGCTCGTGTGTGTGTGTGCGCGCATGCAAGGTGTCAAAGAGCTTGCCTTCCAGCAGGTCCCTTCACGCACGGCGACTTGACAGATGTTTCAATTCAACTTGACAACAGGATGCGAACGGTGCGCACGACAAGCTCAGGTTCTAATTGTTCGCACTGTAGCGGCCACTACATGGTGAGATGCACGAATCATGCTTTGATAAGCCTTGCAGTTACTAACCTCGCCGCTGTTATTGCCGGACCGGCCGCCACACCCAGCGCGTTCAGATGCCCAGATGCCTGAGAGCTCTTGAAGCTTCTGGAAGGAGGAAGCATCGCCAAAAACAGCACCCACGATCGCGGTAGTGCCTTGGCCGCAGCGGCACAGCAAAGGAAGAGGGCGAGAGAGTATACCTGTAGGATGCCTTGTGTATGAGAGTGCCGACGGGCCAACGGGAGGTAGCTTTTGAACTGTGAGCAGGCCGAGGCATTTCAGCGAGTCATAGCCTGAAACAGCCCGTAAAACACCGATTGAGCCATGAAGCTTATCTGGATTGCAGGGGTGGGGGCCAGCAGCATCTGCTCGCCGTGAGTCTCGCAGCGGCAGTGGTCTGAAGGCTGCCCTGAAGTGTGGCGCATATGGCCAGTCTTGTTGGGCTACTTCAAGGAAGTGATTGCTGGCTGTGCAGCAAGTCAGTTCAGTCCGGACACATGCCGGACCAATCTGTGTTGCTTACTCCGAAGGGGCCTTCTGAACTCTAAGAAGGTGCCGCCAGAACAGTTCCACCAGCTTCACGGACTGGACTGCTACCGGCAGCTCGCTGCAACGTCAGCTTTTGCTCGGGGGTTCCGTGAATCATTGCACTGTCGAAGAATATGCTGATTTATGAAGGCCGTCACTGGATGGGAATCGTGTTCTGTTGGAAGATTGATTCTGTTGGCTGGGTTGAAGCAAAGAGAGAGAGAGAGAGAGAGAGAGAGTGTGTGTGTGTGTGTGTGTGTGCGTGTAGTGTGTGCCTGCCGGAAGTTCGGTTCGCATTCTCGTGTCTCTCGCATCTGCGCACCGCGGCCTTACTAATCTGGGGTAATCTGGGGCATTTGCACCTCCTTCAGGCTCCTCGGGCGACTTCTCCCTGCGGAAGCCGTCTGGAACCTCAGTCCCCTTATTGGACACAGAATGCTCGGAGTAATTTTCGAAGCCTCTGTCGCCATGCACGCGCAGGTGCAGCAACTCGTATGCGGCGAAGTGATCGAACCCCAGCGGTGCCCCAATGCAGCAGTGCTGACCGCCTCGCTGCAGGCCGCATCGGAATGCCCAAAAAGCTGCATGTCCCAAGACATCACTCGCGACAACACTCCGTCTGCAACCTTCGCTCGAACATTTGCTGTCAGCACAGCTTTAGGGTCATGCAGTGTCCCCAAAGTAGAAGTCACAAGTGCAGAACAGGATCAGCTTGAAGTATGTGCTGACGGAGCAGGGTCGAATAGACGAGTTCATTTGCGAGCAGTATATCAACTGCCAGGGCGTGGACGACGTCGAGTCAGATGTCCTCATGGATGCTCTGGGCTATTTGGCTGCATCTATAAAGACAACATGAAAGTATCAGCCCGGCCGTTTTGCACGATCTTGTTCAGCGAAAATCTAGAGGGGAGTCGACTTGCTGCCGTAGAGGTCCATGCTAGCAATGCTTCACGGCTTTTTCTGAACCCGGATGTGCAGCAATCGCTGCATGTGCATCCTGTAGTGCCCCGAAGAGGCCCTGAGAGAGTCGAAGGACTGCACACGCTGCCTCGCGAGGTCACTTCCTCGATGTACTTGGCACGCTTAGCTCGAAGCCTCAGAAAGCTCGGATAAGATGCATTTTTGCATGTCTTCTACGTGCCCGCTCGCTACTTTCCAATGCATATTGTGGTGGCATCGCAGCCCTCGCTTCGACATAAGGGCTGGGGATCTTGCCAAGCCGATCCCAGGCACGGCCGAAGGAATCGTGTTCTTCTCGTCTGCTGCCATGCCCTCGGTTCACAAGATTTCACAGACACCCCGCCAGCTCCTGTCTTACAGAGCACACTCTAATGCAGACCGAGGGAGCTGCACGATGTCTGTACCCAGGAGCTGGGGGCAAGCTTCGTGGCAGTCTCGGGACTGCAAGGTACCAATCCCGATAGAGCTCGATCGTTCACGTCTGATCTTCCACTGCTGTGACCCTTTGTCTTGGAGAGGTACGCCTGGTCACGAGATTCAGTTGGTGAGGTTTGCCCTGGCAATGCGGGACCGGAGAGGGCTTCAAGAAACACGACCTTAGGCATGCAGTGAAAGCGTGCGTGTCTGTCCCTAGACAGCCAGTGGGAATCCCTCCAACCTCGCAAGAAAACGATAATGATTAAGCAATAGGCTCGCAGCGGCTAGAGAGAAACAGAACGACAAAGAGAGCGAAAGAGAGGGGCGGAACAGTCATCCCCGAAAGGTGCGACACAGACCTTGAGGATCACGGACCGTTAGGGGTAGGCCTTCGGGCCAGGGTTCTTTCGGGAGCCCAGACCCCTAGCAAGCAAGCAAGCAAGGAGCACCCGCCATCCCACCAACACTGCGGTGGGATAATTGTGATGTTGTTTGGTGACGTTGCATCTTGGCCCAGCACGGAAGAGATCGGTCTTTCATGGAGGAAAAGAACTTCTTGAACCAAAGCCAGCCAGCCCTAAGCTCTTCTAGCGGTGTGCCTAGACCCCCTTGGAGAAGAAGCGAGAGAGACAGAGAAAGACAAAAAGCTTCAACGAACGAAAGTTTGGCACACAAACTTGGTTTAGGGCCGGGGGCGGCGGGGGGGGGGATGCGCCCTCTAACTGATTGGATCCGATAGAAGAAGAAGGTCGGGCTACAAGAGAGGGCAGAGCCTGGACAAGGGGGCTTTGCGAGCTGAAGCAGGTAGCGGTTCGTGCAGTTTAGAGAGCGCAGGAAAAGCGATGAGATACTGTCACTTCTTGCAGGACCGGCTGGATGAGTTGAGGCCGGAGCGTCATCTGCACTGCAGATTGATTGTCGTCTTGTGCACGCATCTGCATGCCTTAATGTGTGCTGGCGTTGACAACACTTCCGAGAGACTGTAGTCGCTCTTGCAACTCAGTATCATTATCAATACGGGACACGGCCGCCGCCGCGTGTCTTAGCCTGGAGATGACTGCAACTGGAACAAGCTTCCATCTCCGGGCTGCAGCCAGGATGCAGAATGCCCTGCGAGTAATCGGCAGTCAGGAAAATCATAGCTGAACATGGAGTGCAGTTACGAGGGCCATGAGGACCCATCATGTAAGGGTTTTGTTCGCAGTCGTGAGCCGGAAAGCTGGGCCGTCTAGCTGCGAGCTAGTGCGTGTGCGCGTGAGTGAGTGAGTGAGTGAGTGAGTGAGTGAGTGAGTGAGTGTCAAACATGCATGCGTGCCTGTCTTTGTCCGTTTTCCCTGCTTGCCTGCCCGTGGGTGCACAGACGTGCGATGCGCGGCCAAATCTTGCCGCCATGCAAGAGGAGCGCGAATGCAGGCAACAAGGACGTAGTGATGCGACACTGCATGCGAACATGCGAGGCTCTGTCTGCTTCCAATACACAAAAAGATACAGAGAAGCATGGGTTTGAGAAGAGACTTATTGAGCAAGCTCCGTGCAGTAGCTCTGTCAGGAAAGCGCTTTCCTCGGCCGGGGAGGTACGAGCACCCTAGCATTCGACGATCCCCCTCATGTAATCGCAGATGACCGGAAGTCGCAAATGTTTACAAGTTGTGTGCGAGTGGAGGCCTCGCAGCTGTCCCTGGCCATCGGTCTCGATATGGGCAAAGCGACACGACTTGTCACCTGGAAGAATTGTGAACAAGCGCGGTCGTGGTGAGCCGTGCTCGTTTTCCAAGGTCCTTGGACGATTGAGCCCTCATGCCGAAGTCTCAGCTTGCGTAGCCTTGCAGTTGAGAGCGAGGCCATCTCTGAATCACGATCATGCGGTTCTCGATTGCAGCGAGTTCTTTGGGGGGCGGCTGGATGTTGAGTACGGGTTGCATTGTGGTCATCTCGGTAAGGTCACCATCACTGGTCCAGCGATGCGAAAAGCCAGGCAGACCAGCGACAAAAGACAGTCTGGTGGCGCATTGAAGCAAGCTAAGAAAACTTGCCTTGGTCATCAGGCTGTTGTGTGACGAGGCAGGCATCCAGACCAGCAGACAGGCCCTTTTGGGTGCGACAGTGTCCAGAAAGCTTCGCTCAGCTGGCTGGTATTGATGCTGACCTGCCGACCACATACCACATATAGTAACGGCTGTGCTAAACTCGTGCTGCCATCTTGTGAGTGGGCACACGTTTGGTGACATGGCATCATAAACATTTTGTGGTATGTATGTATGTATGTATGTATGTATGTATGTATGTATGTATGTATGTATGTAACTAGTATTTATGTGTACATACAGAAGAAATGAGCTGTGGGAGTCCCTGCGGGAGGGACGGACCGGATCGATGCGGGCATTGCGTGCGCGCATGGGCAAAAGGAGGGAGGCATCCAACCCGGCACGAAGGATTCTCCACCCGTCCACCAGAGGTATATCGCGAGAGAAGTACTGACCAACACGCAAGTAAGGATCCTCTATAATGACAACTACCTCTTGAGGTACACCATGGAGGCAATGGACCTGTGCAGGCACAATGCCAGAGAAGAGTTGGGCCACAGGAGGTAGGGAGGTATCCAGTGCTCGAGTCCAGGAAGGATCCACCACGCACGACATCCGAAGCGGTGAATCCTGTCGTGACGGCTATACCTCCCAGGGGGGACCCAGAAGTGAGCGGCAGGAGGGAGGGGGAGCATTTGTAACGATGTATGCATGTCTAGATAAAAAGCCTGAGACATTGGCTGTCATGCTTCAGAGAACTGCCCAAGGGCTTCACGCAGATCTTTGTCTCCCAGCTGGTGCTTCGCCGAATAGGTGCCGTTTCTAGCGTGACATTGCTCAGCCAGTGCATTGTTCGTTTGTTCGGTGATACACGCCATTGCTCAGGTGCTGTCCTTTCCACCTTGCCCATTAAGCCGGTGGACGTCCACACAGGATGGAATCCACTGGAAAGCGCTCACAACTTCATATTCAGGTTCACGCGCATCCGCATTGATCTTTGTCCACCGCATCGTGCAGGTATGCCAGCTGCACAGACTCTGCCACACGAGGTCGGAACCCCAACAGTGGCAGCGGTGAAGACATTAGCGATGCTGAGCTTGGTTGCTGCCAGTGCTCTTTGCCTGTTTGACTGGATTCTACTTCCCCGAGCCTTTAGTGCATGAAAGCATTGAGGGCCTACTCGGAGGGCCTAGCGCAGTGCCTTCATGTGAGACGGTTGTTCGGCTTCGATATGTTCAGTTTCGAACGCAGATTCCAGGAGTCGAGCCAGATATTTGCCCCGAGCTGAGAGCCAGAAACGTATCGCACTAACTCGCGCCACAACTGCAAGGGCCTGTTCATTTAATGCACTGAAAGATGCGTGAACTACAACAGCAACGCCTGACCACGTGAGCAAGGCATGCGATAGTGTTCTTGCGTTGCACTCTTGCCGGTTTCGAGTCCAAGGCCCTCCTGCAGCCCAACGAGGTGTGTCGCTTGTGATCTCTTGTGCTGACAGCTGATGTTGCCTTAAGCACTGGTTGAGGTAGGATCTTTTCCGTGCTGACGTCTCTCGAGGAATTCACGGCGACCTCGAAGCAAAGCGCTGCAAGTGCCGCGCCGGTCAGCTCATCGCGAGTCAGCTTCGATGTGCAAAGCGCCACCTTGACCGCAATGAGAGTCGAAGATATCGGGGGCTGCGTATTTTGGGGATGAATCCGATTGCTCGGCGGTGCCCCAGCACAGATATGCATGTGGCTTTGATTTCACGGTTATGGTCCAAGACATGGGCTCGCAAGAAACAACATGCAGCGTCAATAAATCCAGCTTCAACAGAACAGTGGGGTGGGGAGGTGGGGGAGGATGCTGGCAGGAGCTAGTTAGCCGATTCCTGTGCCTGCCTGGTGGCCACACATGTCACTGCTCAAGCTGCCGCTGCTGCCTCTTCAAAAACAGGTCCAAGATGTAAATCTGCAGGTGGGCCTCTTTGTTTGAGAAGTTGACTCTTCTAGGCCGCAGCTCTGATTCACAAAGCGGCTAGAAGAAGTTGATGCTCAGCGTATTATAGTGTGACGTTGTATTCGGCATGAGCCACGTAGCAGATATTCATGTCAGCTGCCGTGGCTATGTGTACAGAACGTCATGACGGTTCCTTATGCACACAGCGGTCGTGGCATCGGTCTTCCGCGCAACTATGCTGGGGAGCTTCTTTTTGTGCTTTCTTTGTGGCCCTTGCTTGTCGCACCGTTTGTACTCCCTGAGGACGGTTATGCAACCACTCCAAGCAGCCCCAGCGGGCCTCCGCGGACGAAGGTGCGGAGCAACGCAGCAACGCGCTGACAAAAGGAAGAGCCACCCAAAATCACCCAAATCCCGTATGCATCAACGCGGAATCACCTCATCTCACTACTGGTAGATTCTAGTCGCGCCTTCTGTGCTGTTTACAAGTGCCCCCGAGCAGAAAACCCTCACTGACTGTCAGTCAGAGTCGTCTAGAGTCTAGAGCTGCAGAGATGATTCGTGAGACTCGTGCGCGTGTGCAGGGCCCGACTCTGCCTATTCCAGCCCAGCATGCTAGCAGCTGAGAGAGCTTGGAACACCGGTGGGGAGACGGTCTTTCAGACCTCTCAAGGGCGCAGGACATTTTTTGCGTCGCTTCAGCCTAGCAGTGCAGGCTTCATAAGGCACGGTCGCTCCCGTTCCACATACTACACTATATCTGGACATGGCCTGAACCCAGGCCCCAGAACCCATCGAAACTCTGCCTAAAATGAAACAATGCGTTCTTAGTGTACTGCCGGTGTCAGACGGGAGGTTTCTATGGCTTTAGCGGCTACAGGCTAATCACGCACGGATCACATGTTGAGACTCCAAACAGGTCGTGAAGCCGACAGCCTAGCCATCGTGAGATGCTCACAAATCAAGAGGCCCCAAGCGTCAAAGTGCAGCAGACGAGGATATCAAAGTGCCGAACTGCGAACCGTCCACACGAAGCAAACTGAAGCGAGCCCCATCCGCTTGAACTTAGATGTATGCTTTGGCACATGCCGCACGTGCGAAGGCAAAAACCCGTACCCTGACTTCAACTGTCCATGCCTCCTCCGACCATATGTAGTTTCACATGCTATACACGTTGTGCAACCACGCTGCTCATGTGTTGTGTGAACTCGCCCAAGCAACGCCTGAAGAGTGGTGAGACATGGTCACCTCGTGAATGCACCACCAAAGCCACAAGTCCAAGTTTGTCGAGGCTTCAGCGGGAGCATACCATGTGCAGGAGGTGCAGTCGCGCTTGGGCCAAGGCCTGGGCAGCCATGCCATCGACGCGGAGTTTGGACTTGCAGAGAGAACTTATATAGAATATGGCGACAGGTATGATAAGCGAAGGTCGCAGTCGAGGGTAGCAGGGATGTCCGCTCTACAAACAGCAGGTGATGTTCTTCGGCCAGTGCGAAGAAGCTTGAGTGTTTGTGCATGAGACGCTTTAGGGAAGTGTCTTTGGAGCACGCGTTGTCCAGGCTTTACATCGCCGTCTTCGCGAGGCACGGCTTCAGCCATCCGTGTGTGTCGGGGTTTCGAAAGAAGAAGTCTCAGCCTGGCAGTAGCTTGCCCTCCCATGCCAAGTGATGCTCAAGAGGCGGAGTTCACACGGTATCGCCCTGTCCTGGAACTATGTAGAGTCTCTAGAAGAGGGTCACGCCTAGCTCTTGACGAGCTTGATACCATTACGGGTGTCAGCAGCCTGTCGGCAGGCCCCAGAATAAAGCTAAACGCTAATGCTTGGCAGACCGCCAAAGAAGCCCGACTTCTTAAGGTAGACTTTGGAAGGTAGTGGGTTAGTTAGTTCCGCTTTCCGCAGCATACCCTTGCCATGGGCTGTGGCGATGGCGGCAAAGGCATGCGCCGTCTTGCTTTCAAGGCCGGCATGGTGAAGACGCCGGAATGGTCAGACTTGTAATTCCTTTAAAGTAGGGAGTGTGATACTATACTTTGGCATGCAAGCCGTCAACACGAATGCATAGGCAACAAAAAGCTGCAGCGCTGTGCCTCCAGGTCCTCTGCCCAAACGAGCTCATCGCACGTATTATGGGTAAGGGTGGGACTCGCAAAGACACTCGGCAGCTTGAACGTGCTGAAACTGGTGGTCATGCCGGCTTGGCTTTGACCCTGCATGCAGTTGCTCCCTGACGCCGTTTGAGGACCAACTCCAGAGCGAAGCAGGCTGCCGTATCGTGGTCAGCGGCCGCGACGAGTTCTTTCCTGGCACTCGCTGGCGAGTCCTGTTGATTTACAGTGACAGGTCAGAGGCGCGAAGTTCCAACATGCACAATTTTAATAGTCTACATCGCAACAGCATACAGAGTGTTGTGCGGAGTCATGTTCTGGCTGAGGCAATCCTGGCAGTGATGCAGCATGTGATTCGCGATGTCATCGAATGTGGTGCAAAAGAGTCACCGAATCCAGAGGCGGACTTCCTGGGCCCAGACCGTGGATCCTACATTGTTCGATGTGTGGTCACAAAGCAGATGTCATCTGCAATCATTGGCCCGAAGGGCAACAATGCCCGGGCCATTAGAGAGGAGTCTGGATCCAAGGTCGTCATCGACCCCAACATAACTGCGGGGCATCAATTTGTGAAGCTCGTGGGTGAGCCCCAAGGCTTGCGAATTGCTTTGGCCAGAGTCAATCAGTATGTTCAAGAGCAATACGGAAGTCCGACGTACATGGAGTGGGCAACCATCAAAAGCTTCGATGGCGCCGGGAACCCGATCCATTCAGGCCCTGCAGAGACGGGCTTTAGCTATGGTAGTGTTCACGGCCATATGGGCAAGGGAGGGGCCGAATGGCCAGACGAGCGTGAGCGAACTCCTAGACAAGGCCAGGTAGCTTGCTGGACTTTCGAACTACTGCCCTGGGTTGTGTTGGGTTCTTTACCTGGTTCTGCGGCGATGTTGAGGGGTGTTCAGAGTTGTTAGCATCTTAGAGCTGGTGTTCAAGCGTTTTGGGGAATTTCTTGGTTTTAGTCGTCAGGGGTCACAGTTTGTTTTTCTATAACTATGTATTTCTCCCTGTGGGTGCGTGCGTAGCTGGCCGCCTGGCGTCGAAGCCGTTGGACATGGCCCTTCCTTCCACAACCGTGTGTTTCACTGTATGTTGACTTGATCAGAGACCCAATCTGGAATCTGCAGCCCGTCTGTGATTCTGACCCACCCTCTCAACTCTGAACAGCCATCGAAGGAACAGTCCACAAGCAGCTTCGACGGCTTTCGTTACTCCACTCCGTCCAGAAAATCTGCTGCCCTGTGTTGAAAGCAAGCTAAGGGCCATGACCGCTGCATGTTCTAAACAATCAGGGGGGCAGCGAGCATACCTGGATCACGCTGCCTGACAAAGACCCTCCAGGTTGTTGTGATAGGAAGAAGGGACGCCTTCTTCACGTACCTGCAATGTACAGAGTGAAGCCGATTTCCAGAGTGCAGACAGTAGGCTACGAACGTAGGAATACGTGCTAACCCATGTTTGGTCTCGACCAATCGGGGGTCAATCAAGTGTGTACTTCGGCTGGTTTTCTGACAAAGTGCCGGTCGTGAGGCTCCAGCTCAAAGATCCCAGATTGAGAGAGCTCGGTGGCCAGACGTATGAATGCCCACCTCCGGGTGCGACCATGCTCCTACATTCTCTCCTACATAAATGCTGAAAAAAGTCGGGATAGCGTCTACTTGTACTCCCAAATGCGACATCCACTACTCAACAATAAGTGGCTACTTGGGACCACGGCTCACTCCTTGTGTCCACGACTCTACAACAAGTGACTACGACTCTACAACTTGTGATCCCAGTGTTTCGCAGCCATCAAGGAACGGGCAGTGTACGGACGGCTGCGGCTCTGACCTGCGAACTCCCTCTCTGACCCAAGAAAGAAGCGACGGTGTTGGGGGGGCTGCGGCTTTGCCTGCGAACTCCCACACCAAAGCAACGATAACATAGCAATGTTGGGAGGGTTGCGGCTTTGCCTGCGAACTCCCACATTGACCAAAAGATGAAATGGCAGTATCGAGAGGGCTGCGGCTTTGCCTGCGAACTCCCACGCTGACCACATCATCATCAAAAATCTTTATTTCTCTCCCTTTCCCTTTCTCTCTCTCTCTCTCTCTCTCTCTCTCTCTCCCTAATCCCTATACCCTAAACGCCAGGTGAAGATGCTGATCCGTTACTACCCCTTCATGGGGCAGCTGCGTGTGTAAATCACAGAAGCTGAGGGCCATGACCGTTGCATGTCCTAAAAAATCAGGGGGGCAGCGAGCATACCTGGATCGCGCTGCCTGACAAAGACCGTCCAGGTTTGCTGTGATAGGAAGAAGGGACGCCTTCTTCACGTACCTGCAATGTACAGAGTGAAGCCGATTTCCAGAGCGCAGACAGTAGTCTACGAACCCATTTTTGTCTCGACCAATCGGGGGTCAATCAAGTGTGTGTGAGTGTGTGTGTGTGGGGAACCCAAACTACCACGGGCACAGGGCATGAGAAATACATCAAGCAGCAACCTTGTGAAGCAAGATCAGTGAGCAATCCTTCAGAATGCAGAGGGTGCCGGGGGCACTGATGAGACGGGCACTAACAAAGACGCTCATCAGATGCCTGTGAAGCAGTGAGGGACGCTCCACTGTGTACCTGCAACTTGTGACATCATCGATAGTGTATGCCGTGCATTGTTTCGCATTTGATATCAACGCTGTGCAATGCTGCCACTTCGTTTGCGTTGACAGAGAGTGATGTTCAGGTGAAAGGTTACAGGTGAATCTTGGCTTTTTTGTGGTAAACCAGCAGCAAGGAAATCAAAGCCTGTTCAGAGACCTCCCTCAACATTTTATCCTTTGAAGTCTCAGTTGAGCATTGAGCTTTTTTGAGTTGAGATCGCACATTGAGAAAATGAGACCAGGGAGACCTGGGTGTTCGAGTGTGTGTGTGTGTGGGCAACCCAAAATACCACGGGAGTTTCAGCAGAGTAGGGGGACGGAGAGGGTGCAGGGGAGCTCCGTCCAATGAAGCTCTCCCCTGCAC